TTTATTCAGCTCAGCTTCCCTTCCTGCCTGCCCTCTTGTCCATCTCCATTCCCAGAAACCTCATGCATCTATCTTTCTAATATGTTCTGAGAACTTTTGTGACAGTTTTCTGACCACGGTGTCTTTTCCTACTACTGAGATCATAAAGTACGTATCTTCTATGAAGCTAGAGGATTTGGAAGCCTGGAGGATCTTACGATCTTTCCTCTATGGTCACTGTTGACATATTAAAAGCCAATGCTTTCAGGCAATAACACACAGAAAGAATTCCATTCCCATGTGGCCAAAGAGCAGTTTCCAAGTGCACTCTCTCCGAGTTTTCTGCATCACGATCTCCCTGTTGTCTGGTAGACAGTCATTTCCTTTCCTGAAAGTCAACTCCCAGATGACTTGTTTTGGAAAGTTTCATAACATAAAGTGAAAATCAGTTCACTGATAAATTAAGGCACACTGGGGCTTCTGTCATGTGTACAGGCTAGAGGGCCACTGTACACACGAGCTGACATCTATACAAGCTGCTGGTATTTCATTTCCCTGTGAGCCTGACTCTAACTGCCTTTGCATCCATTCAGTTTAAATCACAGATCATTGTTCTCCACAAACTCTGGACAGTTCTGGGAAGCACTGCTAAAGAATATCAGCTAAGTCCTTAGCATATCCTACAGGTCTTTACAATCTGGCCTCATTTCCCTTATTAGACTCTTCTTAGAGGACACTTACCATATGTCTCATCCTTCTCCAAGCCCACCAAAATCTCCCTGCCTCTTGCTCTTTTTTTCCCCTGGGATGTCCTTTTTTAACTCCTTCACCTAATGTGTCTTACAATGCTGTAAAACCTAACCCAGATGGTACCTCATGAAGATCACCCCTAATCTTATAAAGTCAAAAGGCATGGCCTAATTCTCTCACTAGGCTTCTATCATTAAGTTTTTCATGAAGTACTTCCATGTTTCCATTCTTCTTCCCCACAAGACCATAATCGTAAGAGGATCAAGGATAATTTTATAGCCCCCGACTCTGTCCAGTTTGGTGCCTGGTGACCAATACACTTTAGTGAATTGATGAAAGAAAATAAAAAAAAGAAGAAGGATAGATTGAACAATGCTGATCTTTTGTTGTTGCTGCTGTTTTGGTACCAGGGATTGAACTCATGGCCTCAGGCTTGCCAGGCAGGTGCTTATGCCGCTGAGCTAAATCCCCAGCCCAGACAACGTTATCTTAAGAAAATATGCCATCATTTTTAAGTTTCTTATCCTGTGGTGCCTGGAAATTATTTTTGGTAGACAGGAGTTGGTGAGAGGACTCAGGGCAGCAGAGTCACATCTGCAGAACGTGAGTGGGCATTCATGGATATAGACAAGGGCAAGTAAGTGCTGTGTCCAAAAGCATGACTCTCCTGGAAAATATTAAATTCCAGGGATTATTTGTATCTGTATTTCTTGTTTTTACCCTGATATACTTCCATGTAGGACTAGTTTGCCATGAAACTTGAGATGCTTTGTAGATATTTTGTAGAAAGGTCTTAATTATTTTTAACTTATTAAACAGATACAATCCCAAGAATGAAAAAAAATCTTTTATCCTGTAACTGTAGTTGTTCTTTGAAGCACCACCACCAGGATAATTCATTTATTATTGAGTAATCTATTTTTAACAATAGATCTGACACCTGTAATAAAAGTCTCAGCCTGCAAGCGTATTTTTCAGCTAATTTGGTCCCTTTATATCATGTGATCTTCAATGACCCATATGCAATATGAGAGTTATCCTATTAGAACTTTCTTTAGGTTGGGTGTGATAGCACATGTCTGTAATTCCAACACTCAGGAGGCTGAGGCAGGAGGATTGCTGTGAGTTTGAGACCAGCCTGGGCTACAAAGTGAGTTCAAGGCCAGCCTGCACTGCTTAGTGAAACCCTGTCTCAAAAAGACAAAATGAACTTTAGAGATGCAAAATAAGTAATACATCAATTTTTAAATCCAGGCAGAGTAAATCCATATCCCAATCTCAGGAAAGCCTAGAATGCTATCTTATGGAGATTACTGGAGTTTTTTGGTCTTTACCACTGAGTGAAAGGAAGTGCCTCACCCAAGTGCATCCTTTCTGTAGGAGATATTTACAGAGTCAGAGAAAGGCACACAGAAAACTTGTCCTAGCTGTTTAGCTCATTTTTATTAACAGTCTGGTATAGCCCAGGGTGTTTAGTCTTACTCGAAACCCTGGAAGATTTTCGTGTTGGTTCTTCAAATGAGGAGTCTGAAATACAGAGAAGCTGGTAACTCACACAAAGTCACATAGCTCCCATATGCCACAGATAGCACCGAGATCAGCTCTGCCTGGCCCAGAGCCTGAAAGTATACCACTACCTGGGCTGCATCTCCAAGGCATGTTCTTCTTATTTGGGAAGAGTTTTTCCAACATGCACAATGCTTAGATGGCTCTCATAAAATCTTACTCCTTTTGACATTGTATACTCTGCTCATACAACCTTCTCTTGATAAAAAAAAAACAGTAATTATTCAAAAAATGATTCATGTATTCATCATATTCAAGCATGTAAGACTTTTCTGAGAAGATGAGCCCTCTTGAGCCACTTTTTATAAACGTCTTTAGTGGGTACAAGTTGATCACCTTTGCCATTGGAAACAGACAAGAGTATTCCACGTGTCACTGTCCACAGTGAGACAAATATAATTCACAAGAGAGCTCATCCGGTCCACACATAGTGCGCATACCCTCTGTGTGGGAAGTATAGGAAAAGAAATGTTCTTCCTCTGCAAGAGCTTAAAGCCCAGAAGTGCGCTCCTTCCACAAATGAACAGCCCAAACAGACTATAACATTATGTCCCCTGAAATCCACCATAAGGCAAGAAGTTCATGAGAGAAGGAAATCATAACTACCTTGGAAAAATCCCAGCTCAATTTATTGGAATAGGATCATGAAGTTTAATTTCTCCCCTCCAGCTTCTTTCATCAGTACTTATTGGCCAGTTTGGGGAGGATCAAGACAACGGTAGGACTAGGAGGAAATAGGACATAAGCTAATTGCAAAGGACCACGCTAAAGATGTATGTGCTTCCCTGAGGGATCCAATAGTAAGACTGAAAATGGAGTAATTTAAATTTCGATAGTTATTAAAACAGGTAACATGAATATGCTAAAACAAACTTAAAGACAAAGCAATCCAAAGTGTTAAGCAGTGAGTTTTCCTAAGAGCCTCCAAGGCAGCCTCTGAGACCCGCTATTAAGCTCCTGCAAACGGGATTCTGTGTGTCTATAACGTTGGGCAACTCTGGCCACCTAACCCAGACACAGGTGGTGGGTAGCAAAACCCGGCAAAGGAGACTAGAGTGCGAGATAAGTGCTCCAAACTGGCTCAACCCACAGGCAACCACCTTGTTGCCGCATGGGTGCACAGGTCATGACCTGGGAGGACCACATCCACAGCTCACTCCACAGTTTGGTAGGCAGTACCCACCTCCTAGGGATAAGCAAATGTGTCATGGGAATAAAAGGGGTACCAGGAGACGTTCTAGAAAATCCAGAGGACTACTGGTGGGGTCCTTGATGCTATGCTGCGGTAGGTGCTGTCCCACGGGATTCGAGGCGGTGCCCTGGTGACAGTGAGGAAAAAACGCTGCTAAACATTTGCCTTCCTAAAAATCAGTCCTGGCAATCGCATCACTGAGGAGCACCCAGCTGGTGTTTATCCTAAGGGCAGCAAATGCAGTTATTTATCTCTCCATTGCTTGATATATTCTCTAAAGTAATGAATGGTCCATTAAACTAAGTTTGGGCATCTGTCTCCTCACAGCCACCTCCTCTCGGGCATCCTCAGCCAGGGAGGCCGGGCGTGGGCTGCAGCCTTCCAGCCTCCACCCCCCTCCCGCTGCCGCCTTCTTTTTCCCCTCCTCTCTCCCCCCTCCCCCTGGTTATTTGGGAGATTAGAGTTCATTAATTAAATCCTGTGCTTAGATCGAACTGTAACATTATTCCAATCACATTTATCTTGCAGGCGGCGGCGGAGATGGCAGCCTCGCTGGAAACGCGCGGGGGAGCCTGAGCCGGCGGTCGGAGACGCACAGCGCGCCGCGCTCCCGGCCCCGCCGCCGCCGCCGCCGCGCGCAGACCCTCCATCTTCCTGCTCGGCGCGGCCCGCTCGCCCGGCCCCGGGTCGCCGCGCCGCGCCCTCCGGCACTCCCGCCGGCCCAGTCCCGGCCTCCGCGGCTCTGCTGCCTGGGTCCCCTCCCCCGCCACACACGCTTACACGCGTCCGCGAGCACACACACGCGCGCGCACACACACTCACACACACGGACACGCCAGCGAGCTGCTGGCCGCTCAATGGACCGATTTCCCCGGTTCCCCTGATCCCACTCCAGCCCAGGATGAGAAATTGCAAAATGGCCCGGGTCGCCAGTGTGCTGGGGCTGGTCATGCTCAGCGTCGCCCTGCTGATTTTATCGCTCATCAGCTACGTGTCCCTGAAAAAGGAGAACATCTTCACCACTCCTAAGTACGCCAACCCGGGGGCGCCCCGAATGTACATGTTCCACGCGGGATTCCGGTGAGTGCGGGCCTCCGTGGAGCGCCCTCGGTCTCTGTCTGGTGTGTGCTGTGTCAGGGGACCGAAGAGGGGTGTTCGGGCTTCTCCGAGACACTTTGGGCGAGATGACTGCGTGGTCCTTCCGCTCGTGCCTCGAGGCTCCCTTCCTCCTCCCCTTTATTTTTTAACCCAGAGCCCCTAAAAGCCGTGGTCCGGATCGATGTGATTGCAATTCTCGTATTCTTCCTCAGCGTCCCTTCCCCCATTTCAAAAATGGGGGAGGGTTTAGGGAGAATAATGGAGAAGGGAGAGGCAACGGAAGGGGGGCCGCGGGCTGAGATGGACAGGCGAGAGTTGAGCGCCCTCCCCGCCCGCCCGCCCGCGGTCCGCAGCTCCGAGGCCGGCTCCGGGCGGTGCGAAGCGGTTAAAGGCGCAGGCGCCGACTCCCCCCTCCCCGCACCCTCCCCCCGCCCTCCGCCCATCAAAGGAAGCGCGGCCCGGCTCTGAGGCCCGGGGCGGTCTCGCCCGACCTCCCCCCTCCCCGCCGCCGTGCCCCTTGGCGGGGTTTCTGCAGTTGGCCTGGCCCAGCGGGCAGCGAGCCCCCGCGGGCTGCAAACCCTCGCCCGGATCGCAGGCTCCACGCGGCGCGGCCGCCGCCGGAAGCGCCCGGCGCAGCTCCGCCAGAGCCCCCGCCCGACCTGCGCCCGCGGAGCCCTCCCGGCGGGGCCTGGCGACCCCGGTCCCGGGCGGGCGGGCGGCCGTGCGCCCGCTGGAGAAGCCCCGCCTGCGGGCCCGCTGAGCTGGGGGCGGCCTCGGGGTCCCCGGGCGAGGGCTGGGGAGGGAAACCAAGTACGGGGTGGGTCAGGAAGAGGTTACGGCCGGGAACACCCAGCTCCCCCGGGCTCCGGTTTGCGGTGCCCTATTTGCAAAAATCGCTGCCTCGGGCGGCGCGGGCGGCGGGGTTGACGAGGGCCGCTGTCCGCGGTGCTGACTCCCGGTCCCGCCGCGCTCGGCCCTGCGCTCCGCCGCCGCCCTGCTCGCAGCGTGACGGCCATCTTATGGCCTGGCTCGCTCCGGGCAGGGTGGACAATGAGGATGAGTTTCACTAGTTTTCTTTCCTTCCCGCGGGAGTATATGTAAGAGCAGAGGGTGGAGAGATGAGAGGGCCTCCGGGGCCGGATGAGCCGGTGAGTGTCCCAACTGCCCATCACCCCGCGCCCCGCAGGGTGGACTTTAATGGCTACCTCGGCTTCCCCGAGCTGAGGCCCGCACGTTTGTCTGTACTCATGCTCCTCTCCAGGTCACAGTTTGCGCTGAAGTTTCTAGACCCGTCATTTGTGCCCATTACGAATTCTCTCACCCAGGAACTCCACGAGAAACCTTCTAAATGGACATTTAATCGGACAGCGTTTTTGCATCAAAGGTAGGATAGGAGGAGACTATCCAAAAGGTCTTTTGGAACTTGGGGGCTCAAAAATCAAAACAAACAAATCCAAAACAACAAAAACATACCCCTCCCCCTTGCATTTGCATTGTCTTCCTGGCCTAACTGCACAAGGCAGTGATTGGTATAACACTCTCAAATGTGTGTAGTGCCCTTTCGGAAGGGAAGTGTCAGGATGGTGAATCTGAATGGCAAAAAATACATACATTTCCCTACCTACCCTTAATGGAGCACCACCCCACAGTATATAGTTAATAAGCTTGACTAAGACTACCAAAGCTGCCAGTTTCTTTAAAAATGTTAATTGCAAAAAGACTACCCAATACACTTTCATTTTCTCACAAAAAAATAATAGAATTGTATTACTGAAACACAAAAAATATAATCTTTTTTTTTTATTTTTTTTTATATAATGTTTTTTTGTCTTTTTCATTTTTATCGGTACCAGGGATCGAACTCATGACTGCCTGCTTGCAAGGCAGGTGCTTATGCCACTGAGCTAAATCCCCAGCCCCAAAAAATATAATCTATCTCTGACAAATTATTAGTAAAGGTATGGGCTGAAGTATATGCAGGTATTTATGATTTTGTTTTGGCTTTGGCTGTTTTCATTAACATTTATCTTATTATAAAGCTATCGTATAACGTACATCATTCTTATGAGTTGTAACAGCCCTGTTTTATACATGAAGTTTTTCCTTTCATGTTTTATTTGGGAGAAAGATGAAATTTATTCAAATTTAATTACTCTCATAGGTGATTCTGATCTAGTTTTAGAATCACTGGTAAATTCTTCCTATTTCCTTCTTGGTGAGATTATTGTGCTGCAAGATGCAGTGTGAGCCATCTAGTGTATTCATTAGGCGTTTGAATACTTATTTTACAGACTACTCTATTTAAGGAGTTATATTTGGGGCATAGCATTTCTCTAATTGTTGCCCTTTTTAAAAAAATTGTAATGTACTGCCAGAATTAAAACAAACCCAGTGGATATCCATGGTGTCAGAAAAATATTGTCTATGTGAAATTTTGATGTACAGTAATATGCTTATCATTACAGTTTTTTAAACATTTGTTTATATTCGTGGAAATTGATTAATTCTAAACTCAAGTGCTTTTTGGGATTTTTTAATCCTTTATTAATTTTATAGACAACTCAGAACAATTTGAAGAATAGAACACATTATACCTTTCCCCATAACACATTTCTAGCTCAATAAAAGTATTGTTCCCACACTAGAGTGTGTGACCCTAATGACCAAGCCAATCAGAAGAACATTGCCTTCCTAAAATTTCCCTTTCAATGCATTTATTAGGCAATCTTCAATTAATTTTTGCCAGTATCATTTTAAATTTGTCTTTCATTCGCAACAGCTAGTCAGAACAATACTGATAACATTGGATCAGAGATGTTAGTTTATGTTGCTCTACACAGTATGTTGCATAATAAAATCAATTTTTGAAATGAAAGCCCCAACAAAGTTTTGATATGCAGATACTTCATTTTATTCCTGTTGTTTTTAGACAAGCAGCACAGGAGTTTCTCTTAGCACTGGAGAATCTACCAGCAAAGTAGCATGTTATTGGACTCTCAAATATTTTAAATAGCTGAGACTCTTAAGAGGAGACACTTAATTTTACTTAAAGCTCAATATGAAGCCAACATGTAGTTCTCTGTCTCACTCTTGTCTTGGCTATTCTGTGTTTTTAAAACCTAACACATGTTCAGGTTTACAATAGCTTTTTTCTAAGGATTAGCCCAGTAAATTATGTTTTTGTGTAATCTAGCACAAAAAATACCTTGTTTCATTATTCAAAGGATCTTAATATGATTATCATATCATTTCTATTAAATATTCAGATACATCCACTGCTATTCCCATTTTCATATTTTAATAATAGATAAGACTAGAATAACTCATATATATTTGGCTCTTATTTGGATACCAGTGATATTTGATATTCTTGAACACTACAGTCCAATAGCAAACAAGTAGTCCCTAGTTACGAACTCCAAGTCACCAGTGTTTGTGCACTAATATGAGCTCTTAGGGGCCTGTGTAAATTGTCTCCCTGAATTCTCTATCACAGTTTGGCATATGCCTCATCTTGGATTAAATACATCCCTCAAATACAGCAGAAAATCAAGAAATGGCTGCTAGATCTGTAAGTTGTGTTTGCAAGCAAGCCTCAAAGGATAGCATTCAGAGCTGAAAGATTAGAACTTGTCTGTATATTCGGAAGCAGTCTTTCCTTTAAAGACCACAGTTATGAATATATAATCTCTCCTGGATTCAATGTGCTTAAGATTCTTGTCTGAATGAAATGGCAGTGTAAGACATAAGATGGAAACTCGGTTCTTTTGAATGGAATGCATTTAATGAATTTCTTTTTATTTTAGGCAAGAAATTCTTCAGCATGTCGATGTAATAAAAAATTTTTCTTTGACCAAGAATAGTGTTCGGATCGGACAACTGATGCACTATGATTATTCCAGCCATAAATATGTTTTCTCTATTAGCAATAACTTCCGATCACTGCTTCCAGACGTGTCTCCCATCTTGAATAAGCATTACAATATCTGTGCTGTGGTTGGAAATAGTGGGATCCTGACAGGGAGCCAGTGCGGACAAGAAATAGATAAATCAGATTTTGTTTTTCGTTGTAATTTTGCCCCTACGGAGGCTTTCCAAAAAGATGTTGGAAGGAAAACCAACCTTACCACCTTCAATCCCAGCATTCTGGAAAAATATTACAACAATCTTTTGACTATTCAAGACCGTAATAATTTTTTCCTCAGTTTAAAAAAGCTTGATGGGGCCATTCTTTGGATCCCTGCATTTTTCTTCCACACTTCTGCAACTGTTACCAGAACGTTAGTTGACTTTTTTGTCGAACACAGAGGTCAGTTAAAAGTCCAGTTGGCTTGGCCTGGAAATATAATGCAACATGTCAACAGGTGTGTATATTTTATTGCATTTAACTCACATCCCACCAGATGGCAAATTATATTGTAGTCTTGAGGGTAGGGAACCACCAATTAAATCGTTGTTGTGATTAGCTTAGTATTTTAGAGCAAACTACTATCTTTTGTAATGAATGGATGAATCATCCTAATTTAAAAGTTTAACCTACCCTCCAGCAAGTAGCCAAGTACCAAATGGAAAGATTAGTGTTTCACAGGCTTCTGGACCCTCTAGCCCTTTTCCCACCCAGTCTTGGTGGTAAACTTTTTAAACAGTCATGGGAACCATCACAAATCAAGAAATTCCCTTTAAATATATAGCTATATCCTTATAATGCCAATGACCAAATTATACAAAACAGATTTTTTAAAGAAGATGCAATTGACTTAAAATTTGCCCTTTTATTTGATGTTTAGATGTTTTGTAGATATCACAGATTAACAAACCACCTAGATAAATCACAGACTGTAAAATGTGTTTATAATTTGATACTTGAGTGTAAAAACTTTGAAAAGCATTATATAGTGTCATTGTTACTCCCCATGACTTTGATACACTGAGGAGTGATGCCATATTTTCATCTAATCTCGTGATTTTCAGGTCTGACTGTACAAAAGAATCATTGAGGTTTGGGGATACTTAATAGTAGAGTGCCTGCCTAGCATACATGAAGACAGGAAGCCCTGGATTCAGTCCCCAGCACCAAAACATATAAAAATAAGTCACTTGGAGAGCTTTAAAAAATACTGGTGCCAAGAATCTACTTTAAGACAGTCTAATGTAATTTTTCTAGTAGGAAAAGAAGTAAGGACTAGGCATTTAGTGTTTTTGTGAACTCCCCAAATGATTCTAATGTGCATTCAAATTGAAAGGCACTAGCCATGGTATTTTATAAAGCAAAGTCAATTGTAGCATCTTTTTTTTTAATAAATCATATGACCAAACTACCTCAATTCTAAATTCCCCTATGTAAAAAACCCCAGTCCTAACAGAGAATTAGATGTTGTCATAATTTAGGGCAGCTTTTGGAAAACCTGGTAACCAGGGAAACCTAAATATTCTCATTTCAAAATAGTTTATTCCCATTCTTTGGTCACCTAAAGTCTTCTAAGTTTAACATCTGTTAGTTGACCTCTCTCTCATTAAAGGAGGTGTCATAGTCTAATAAGCTGGTTTGTCTCCACTATACAGGGTGATTCCTTTAATTTATAAATTAAAATTATTTTATTAAATTTATATTAAGAGGTAATGAAGTCAACCCAAAGTCTAGGGAGCAGGAGTCATTTATGTAGTCACTGCCCAAAGTGAACAGAACCAAAATTGGAACCCGGGTCTTCTGTCAACCTATCCGTTGACTTTGGGTCTCTTCACTTGCTCCCACATTGTTCAATTTCAGTAAACTTTTAGATTTCATTTGGAAGGGGAAGAGTCACTATGACTGTGCTGTGAGATGGATTTGTCAAAGTCATTGGAATAGTCTGAATCCAGACATGTCCGACCTTTTGACTTGCCAAGTACCACATTGAATAAAGAGGAATTGTTTTGAGCAACTTAAAAATATACAACATAGCTAATGTATACAATTCACAAAACTTCCTTTTTTTATATTTGCTGTTATACCTTAAAAACAAGAGTGAGAGGAAGCAAGCTGGAGGTTACAGGTTGGACAGACTCCAGACAAATCCACTTCTCATCCTAGTCCTGTTGACCTATCAGACTGAAACCTTCAACACTGGCCTCTGAATCCACATGTACTTATTGTTCCACAGGTACTGGAAAAACAAACATTTGTCACCCAAACGGCTAAGCACAGGTATTCTTATGTATACCCTTGCATCAGCAATATGTGAAGAGATCCACTTGTACGGATTTTGGCCTTTTGGATTTGACCCCAACACAAGGGAAGATCTTCCGTACCATTATTATGACAAAAAAGGAACCAAATTCACCACCAAGTGGCAGGAGTCCCACCAGCTGCCTGCTGAGTTTCAGCTGCTGTATCGAATGCATGGGGAAGGGCTCACTAAACTGACTCTGTCACACTGTGCCTAAGAACTCCACAAGAAAAGTGCCAAATGGTTGTCTAAAAAAGTGCCCCAAATCAAATTGAATAGTCTTCTGAATAGAACCCCAGAGACTGTCTTATAAGGCTTGTCTGCCATTTAAATGGAAAGATGTCTTCTTCTTTTGCACTGCTCTTTGAATGGTCTTAGCCGATTTCACAGGACAGATGCGCTGAAACCATGTGATTTAAACTTGATGGATGAAAGGAATGTTGCATTTGGAAGTATGCTGCTAACAAAATGGTTTGAAGTATTTCTGTGTTTGTATTTTAATAATAAACTGCTCCTGTGTCAATGAGGACAAGAGCTATAGTTTTCTACAGCTCTGTTTAAGTGCAGTCCTCAGAGACCTCTGGCCAATTAGGGCAGGATCTGTTTAGCCAGTGGGATCAGACTCTTCAGAATGGAAATAAAAAATTGGTTTTCACTCCTTTCTCTCTCTCTCTCTCTCTCTCTCTCTCTCTCTCTCTCTCTCTCTCCTTTCTGTCTCTCTTTCATGTCTCTTTCTCTCCCTGTCACCATGTTCCTTGCCCCATCACCATAGAGTTTAATAATTTGCTAGGAATCTTACAGAATTAGCTTTGCTTGTATGTGTTGCACCTGTATTTGATATGTACAAAGCTGTGGATCACTTTGATATTTCATGACAAACCGAGCAAATCATGATGAATCCCCACATGACGAATTTTATAAGAAAGCATCCTCTAAAGTCCTCATTTGTCCATATGGTCATTCAACAGCAAGATGGTCCCTCTGGAGTGAGTGGAATATAGTGTAGTGTGTCTTGCACTATCTGAAAGGAAACCTGTGGTGTGGGTGGCATTACATGTCCTGGCATGAGTATGATTAGGATAGACAGCAGCACTGTGGCCCCACCTGCAAAGGCCTTTCAGCCTGTCTCCGACAGTCCCAGGCCAAGCTCTAGGTTGGGCAACCTCTCAGAATACAGAGGCAGGGAGTCAGCTAAATAGCCTGGGGCACATACAGAAAAATAAAGAACGTTTAAAAGTAGTTATGGAATCCCATTCTACAGAGTTGTTACCTGTTCAGAGCCTTGGAGAACCAGCAGGGTTAGAGTTGGCCATGTACCCCCCCATGTGAATAATGCTGGGGTGAGATTGTCTCAGTATGGTGTCCCTCCACCACCAAGCTGGAACTGATTGTTCACTCTGAAACATTAGATATTTCCTGTCGCCACTGAAATCAGATCTCTATGCCTATAAATTAAACCTCTCCAGAGGGAAAAGCCATTGTAGAGTGGCAAGTCTTAGTACTGACTAACCCTTGGAGTTTGAGAGTATGTAGATCTGTCCTTTTCATTGTTTCAGTCTTAGAAGCAAAAAGCACTTCTCTCCTTAACTTTTTACTGAACCATACTTTGTTTTTCCAGTTCAGCCCAAAGTCTGGCCAAGTTGATGTTAAATTTTAATAAGAATTTCCTTTTTGTTTCCAAATGCCAGTCAAGCACATTTGTTTTATGTTTGAGTGGGATAGCTCGTTCTTTTCCAGAAATTTTATCTACACTGCTTGCAATGCAACAAATATGGTTAGAATTAATTGCTATTGCTCATTCATCAGCACATTACCTCTCTTTGGAAAGGTATAATCATGCCTAAAATTAAACCAAATACAATAAGCAAAGATAGTCATTGTCTGCCCTGTCCCAAAGCTGTATTCTTTTCAAGAAGAAAATCAGAACTCAGGTCAGCACCAGTGATGACACATCTTACAATGTCATGTGAATGTCAGTTATCCAAACAGATGGGAAAAAATAGGAATAGACATTTTAACATAGGAAAATTTTAAAACCCTCTAATTCTGAAATAACTATTAAAACAAGATAAGACATTTTAAAATTCAGTGGTACAATTTTATGGGAATTAAAACCGTATCATTTTTGTTCCTTCACTGTCACTTTAAAGAGCTTGAAAGAGGTCATTAATACTGCCTTACCATTCTCATTATCCTTGGTTAGAATCATTATGAGATTGGTAACTGACAACCTAAGAAGTCAGCTGTCCCTAAACACTTAGATCATTTGGTTATAGCCAAGTGATACTAATGCCAGTATTACCCAGGCCAGGTACTAACACTAAGGTTTTAGTTGTAATGTGCCCATTCATTTTTACTGGGTACAGATGAATAGACAGTTTGAACCAGCAGGTTAAAGGAGCAAAAATCCAGAATCCCTAAAACCAGTTTATTGTTTCAAAGTGGACCACTTAAATTTGAATCTCATCACAATGCCAAGGTTTTGTGTTTGTTTTTTGAGTTCAGAGAGAGAGTATTTTAAAATGTTAATGCACACTGGCTCCATCTTAAGCTAAGAGTGGGAGGGCTTTCCCATCCCAACCCCACCATCATCTTAGTTATAAATCTCAGTGGAACTCTGAATAGGGAGGAAATGGACTTTTCTCTAGAACTAGAAGGGTTTAGAGGTCAGCTCATCCTTGTAGGATTTCTTGGTGCTGATCCCAAAAGACCACCCTTTTCTTCGTTAAAACTTTCTCTGAGGAAAATTCCAGGCCCTCTTGAAATTCATTTATAACCTACATCCCTTTATTGCAAAATGTTTACATGTAATTTGTTAGTAAAGCATTTATCCCACTTTTCAGCACATAGTAAGTGCTCAACAGGGGCAGCTTTTACTGTTACATTATTTGCAGTGTTGGTTACAACCATATGGACAGTTCCAGTGTAGAAGAAAAGTAGCCACTAGCTAATCACACAAGATCCCTTTTTGTTGTTAAAGATTGGTTCAGAGATTAAAGCCATATGACCACCATAATGATCAAAAGATGGTGGCTCCCATGTTTCCCTATCAGAAAGCAGTGGTGTCAGTAACCAGAGATTGCTGACTCCCCCGTCTCCCAGGCTTGTATGGTCAAGAGCAGTGAATTGGGCAGAGAGAGCATCTCACATGTGATTGAAGCACAGATGCACACCCTTGGTTTTGCACTGTCCTTACTTTTCTGGTTTTAGGCTAAATATATTCTTTTGTCAGAAACTTTTCTCTTTTTAAATACTTCTAGAAGAGCCCAGCAACAATAATAAATTTTTACCATGAATCCCCCCAAGGCTGTCTGCACATGACACCCACATGAATGACCAGTTAAGTTGCAGAGGAAGGAAAAAAAAAGTCCACAAACATTCGGCAGCCTGCTTAATACTCGACCCTCAGTTTTTACCAGCTGTTCTGTGTCATGTACAGACGTAGATCCTGGGGAGACAGGATTAAAGGTTTTCTCAAGATTTCCTCCTCTCTTGCCTATAATTGATGATTAAAACATATGTGGTTCCTCCACCTTGTGTCTGTGTCTTAGATGTCCATTGTAAAAGTGTGTTTAGTAGTAAGTAGTGTGTACCCAACAGTGCCGTGACCTTGATGTCAGGCATCTGACCATGGGGCTACCAACAAGGACAGCCCCCAGGAAGAGCTCTCCCTCCCAGTCTTCTTGTCCGCAGGTCACCAATTAGCTATAAATGTGAGTGCCAAGACAAACCCATCTTGGTGGGGAAGTTGAGGCCTGAAAGAACATTTCTTCTAAATTTGGGCAAGGCACTGTGTTAGACACTCTCAGGAAATACCATATTGTTGGCCTAAGGCCCATGGAAGAAGGAAATTGTCAAGTGCTAGGACACTGGAAAAGGAAGAGGCTGAGTTTTTCCAGTACTAATTATTGACTTTTCACATGAGAAAATGGACCTACAAAAAGGAAGAGTAATTTGCCCGTTGCAGGGTAATTGCTGGAGAAATTATGACTCTTCATCTTGGCTGGATCAGTGTCAAATGAAAGGCAAGAGATTTTGGTCTCAGGTCCTTGGGGCATAAAAAGAAGGCCTGTGAAGGACAAAAAGGGAAAAAAGAAAAATATTTCTCAGCACAAAACAAGGAGATGTTTGCCTAGCAGCCCACTGGTAATGGTCCACATTTTCCAGAAAAATGAAAAGAAAAACCCTCTTATTAAACCACCATTTAGCAAGAAGTGGTTTAGTAAGAGGGTTTTTTTTAATTTGATAAATCAATTTAGTTATTGATGGTTCACAGTTGACAACTGAAATCTTATCCAATAATCTATATTAAACTGTTTTGGTAATATGCATGCATAATTTATAAGTTAAAGACTGAAAATATTTATGTACTTTTCCTTATGTATAATTTTCAGCAGGGGTTCCTTGAGTTGAGAAATTCTTTCCATAGTATGCCGAATTTTAATGGTACATTTAGATTACTACATTTAGTTCAACATGCTAAGAAGATGTACAAATTATAATAACTTTGGTGGGTCTCCCTTCAAAATGGAAAACTGAACAATTTCATGTATATTTCTAGATCTGAAGTTGTGTGTGTGTGTGTGTGTGTGTGTGTGGTGTGTAATGAGCATGCCAGGCATAGGTTTCTGTGTAGCTTCTACTCCTGCCTGAATGTATACAGTGAAAGCTTTGCTTAGGAACAGAGTTGGGGCTGTGTATGTGGTTGAAGAGTCCCAATGAAACACCACAGCACCTGGGGATCTGGGCACTTTACCTGGATGTTTGACCTGTCTGCATTCTGTGGCCCAGTAAATCAAAGCTACAGAGAAGTTGATACCAAAAGCCAAAATAGCTAAGTATGTCTTCCTCACATTCTGACTGCTTTGCCACCTACATAAAACATTTTAAATAGGAAACACTTTAGAATGTTGTATTATGCGGTGTTTCTGAACATTTATTTTTATTGTGATGACTTACCAAAAATAGGTATTTGAATAGATGTTTTATCTTCTATGAAGCTCATTCTCTTGTTATTGATTGCAGTGGAATTGCAGTGAAAATCCTGTGGCGGAATAACTGACTCCATTTAAGTCTATAGTTAGGTTCTGGGTTAGGACTTGACTCATTCACCAACAAGAAAAAGGAAATTAGGAACTCTTCAAAATGCAATTCCTGCTCCTCTTTCCAAACATTTAACTTAAAATGTATCAGGATAAACCTAACTTACAAAGACTCACAGATGATTCCAATGTTGCCAAGCCATTGGAAACCAATAATATTAATACTAGTTAATATTAATAATATTAATTAATAATGCACCATTCTGACCAAAGTAGCTGAATACATATCACTCCTCATGTAATTAATATAAAAAGTTCCTTAAAATTATCAAAATATATGGCAAGACTCACACAGTCTTAATGACTCAAACATTCAACTCTTGGCTAGGTTGACCCGTGGTTAGTGAACAGTAATTAGTCTAGCCAGAATGATTGTAAGCTTGAGGACAAAGTTAGGAGCATGGCTTTAATGTGTATAACTCCAAGATCAATGCTTTGTTTCACTGTCTATATTTCAAATAAAGGAACCAATCATAGAACATTCATTTTTATAAATGGATTGACTGAGAAAAGTTAGAAAAGTTAAATGATTTATTCAAACTTGATTTGGGAGTTATTCCCAGAGCCTAAAATATTCCTCAAGGAGTCTGATTTCTCATTTTCAGATTCAAGCCCCAAATAGAGGTCTCCAACTAAAGTGAAACCAATCAAAAAAGAAAATTCAAAGGGCTAAAATCCCCACATCAACCCAACATACGTGAAGTGCTCAGTTGCTACTAACTGCCTCCCACCGGCTTCTGTTGGAGAAGGTACTGCCAGCTGATGAAATTTTGGTCAGGCTTTTTTCTATATCTGGGCACATACAAAGCCTTTACTCTTCAGAGGAACCAAATGACTCCTTTGATTTCCCTTTTGGGTGAGTCAGAAGCAGTTGTAGCTCCTTGGTATACTGGCACTGAAGAACTAGCACTTACCAATTTCTGTGGTGTAAATACTCTCATCATAGCCAATTTCAAACTACTGACTTAATTTCAATCAGATGACAATACAACAATATTTACAAGAGCCAGTACAGGCTGGCTTCAAAATGAGCTGCCTTCAGCACAGCACTGCCTGAACAATCTCCGAGTCAGTGAGTAGCAAATAGAACAGGCTAGCAGTGGCTTTGGAGGGCCACCCAAATGCCCCTTTCTCACAGGGGAGCATTTTCCACCTTGGACAGTTCAACTAATTTTTAGTAAAAGACTATTATTTGGGCTGAGGATGTACCTCAAGTGGTTGAGCACTTACCTAAACAGGCATGGAGCTCTGAGTTCAATCCTCAGCACCACACAAAAATTCACATAGATATAGATGGATAGATAGATAGATGGATAGCTAGATAGGTAGATGGATAGCTAGATCGATAGCTGTATAGATAGATAGATAGATAGATAGATAGATAGATAGATAGATAGACAGACAGACAGACTGGTTTTAGGTTAAGGTCCTAAAGGGTTCAAAATGTACCCTAGCCATCTGCTATTAGCAACTTCTCAAAAGGTTCCTCAGCATCTTAGATTAACAGTAGTGTTTTTTCTAACTTCAGAGTGACTTTCCAAGTACATTTATTCTCTAATCTAACAGCAAGTTGGAATGGTGTTTAGCTAATTTATTTTTCCAGTACCAAGGAAAGAACCCAAGACCTTTGCACTGAGCCGCATCCCTATCCCAAAACTATTAAATTGTCCACTTGGTTGTCTTTCTTCTGACAAAATGTAAAATTCAGAGGCATCCATAAAATAGGCTAAAAACAGCACAGGGTAAAAACAAGACACTGACCTATCTTAGCTGGTCCCGTGTGCCTGCAGAGGCTCTGTTAATTGTCTGTACCCCACCAAGGGACACTCAGCTGAGGATCTTGACTGAAATCTGAATATGCACAGCAGTTTATTCCCTTAGAACATCATCAATGATAAAAATATACCACGGACTAGGAACACCTCTGGGTGGATTGGAGTGGCTGAGTGGGCACACTGTGTAGAGCAAGGTGACAGGTAATGCTTTGTGCTTAGCTAAGCTTGTGTGAAGCTAGAAAAGTATAGATGGTATTTCTAATATAAAGCTAGAAAAGAACTCCACCCACAATCATGTGGCCACTGCACTGAGCAGGAGAGCAGCTGTCCTCCCTTGCCCCCTGGTCATGAGTGGACCTCTACTGAATGTTTAGAATTCATATGCCCTTGCAATCCACAGAACGTGCTTACAAATTAAGTTTTTCTGATGGAAATCATTCGGAAATGGGTGTAATTAAATCTTGTAGAAAACAATGCTGGGGGAAATTATTTAATTCTTCAGACGTAGTGAATGCCCATAAGTGTTTGTTGTGCATATAGTGAACCAAATTTAGATCATGAAGGAACAACTCTACTTTCCTTACTGTAGTAAAACACCCTTCAGGTTTTATAAGGCATTTCTACACTATAAATGTTTAAAATTCAAATTGGAAATTTTTATACAGTATTAAAGTTAAATGGCTCTGTTTTCTGTTCTTCTTAATGATCATTGAAATTAGCTTCTTTTTCTACACTGTGCAAGCACATTCTGTTTTAAATGAATCAAGTATGTGTTTGAATGTTTTTCTGTGTTCCCAAAAAGTTTTGTGTAGCTTGGGCACAAAGTACACTTTCCTCTGGCTCTTTCTGATGCCAGAGAGGTTAAGTCCATAGCTACAAGCACTTGACAGGTAGGCAACATCTTATTATGAACAAATTTCCAGCAAAACCAGCTGTGAGGAATGAGCCATGATCAGAATATTTTTTGCTGGGAAGATAGAGATGAAAAATTGTTAGACAATGAGAAAGAGATTTGGTCAAAACATAGAGGTGAAATGAACTTATTGCAACACTTTCAAAATAGAGGGTGAAGTTTCCCTTGATATACAGGATCTAGACCTTTTTTTTTTTATCTAGACCATTTTGTAAAAATTAGAGTAGCAGCACTCTACACTAGAGCTGCTGTTTAAACATATCTGATTCTGCAGGATCAGATCTTCAGAAAGGCAGCCTTACAGCAGGACCCCTAAGAAGGATTTGTGATGGTCTGGGACTCCATCACCAAGCATCAGTAACTAGCACTGAAATTCTCCGAGGACACAGGACAGACACACCGAAGGATCACAGCACAGGATTATCATTCACTTGCCTGGGACATTCACCTAAGCCCATATCAGAACTTCATTATCTCATATGTCAGGTCTAGATTTTAGATGAACATCCCCCATGTGGTGACCAGGTTTAGGAGGTCAGCAGGACATCTCTGCTCAATTAGAATTACAATATGTCTCCCCACCACTGATTCTGTATCACAATATCCTGTTTCTGTTCTTTAGGTAAGAAGTTGACATTCCATTATGAAAGCATAAATTAGACAAAAGAATATTTGTGATATTTTCTCTCATTTTAAGTTCTATGAGATATACTATTTCATTTTCACATCATGTTAAAGACTATTAGTGAAGAATAAAGAGCAAAGCTCTATGTGGAATAAATGAAACCAAAAGGTCAAAAGGTAGGAGGACAGTGAATGTGAGTAATTAAAGAAATGAGCAAGAAGCATGTGTCAGGGAAAATAAATGACTCTGATGTTATTACCATGGCACCCTCCCTCCAGACTTGACGCATTTATTTTAGAAAAAGCATCTATGGTGAGAGACTTACAATGAAGACTTTGCCCCTTCCCAATTGCATCAGAAGTTTCTTTGCCCTTTGGAAGAAGCTGTGACTCTTACAATTAGACTCACCTGTCTTGTGAGAGGTGGCATCACCTGCCCTTGGAAACTCAAGTTGCTGCTAAGGGGTGAGGACCACAGACACGTGGAAGAAGCCAGCCTTGCTGGACTGAGGATCATGTAAATATCTTCTACCTTCTTGATGAACAAGGATGATCATCTTTCACAGAGGTAATTTGCGTGTATATTGTGGCTGTAGTTTGTGAAGAAACTGCAATGGTTTGCTTCGACAGCTCCCCAAATGTACCTGTTAAATGTGATGTGCCTGCCTCATTGCCTCATGTGCCAAACACAATAATGAATGCATTGTTTTTAAATAAATTGTTTTATTGTGAATTGGAAAACACTAGTGGCTGTCTCTGTCCCATTTGGAAGACCCCCACATGCACAGATTTTCATTCTCTCTCTCTCTCTCTTTCTCTCTCTCTCTCTCTCTCTCTCTCTCTCTCTCTCTCTCTCTCCAGTGAAGAGACTGAGTGCATCCTCCTTTTTTAATTCTCTGGTGTGAAGCCATCTCCTGGAAGTACAGAGAAGGTTGAGTCTGGCTGTCTGGAGCCATGAACTAATAGTGAATGCCAGAAGCACCCCATACATACTTCTTCATAGAGCTTTTAAATGCAAATCATGCAACAGCACTTATCATGAATAATAGTAATAACACATCATTCTTCACTGTCACTTTTACTTAATCAAGAACTAAGTGAAGGAGACATCCGGAGGGACATAGATCATGCTGCACAGCCAGTGATGGTCAAAGTGGAAACGCAGCCTAGCTCCCCATCCTGTACTTTTGTACCTTGCAGCCTCTTATTAGGTCACCTCTTCAAAGAGCCTTTCCAGAATGCCACTGTGGCGCTTATCCCCCTACTCTGTGTTATTTCTCTCATGTCGTCATTGTCTCTCATCCTCTAGAAATGATATTTACTTATATACTGTTTGTCTCTGCCTTCCACTACACTATAGCACAAGAACTGGCCCATCTCAGCCATTTTATGTCCTTAATATCTAGAATAGGAGCCTAATAAACTCACAATGGATAGTTACGAGATGGGCAAATAGACAGATGAATAGCTAGGTGGACAGACAGACATATCATTTCAATTCTTTTTTTCTTTATCTCTCTCTACATCTTTGTACTTAGACACAAAAATGCCTAGTGCTTCTCTAACCATGCCACCTCAGATAGCACCATAAGCAGTACTCAACAAGCACTTGTTGATGGAATTCATGAATGGTCCTAGGAATTATTGTTCTCAACATCCATGCTCCAGCATCAAAAATGTCCTGGTATACTAAATGTGCTAAAACACATTTGATATTGATGATGGATTGCAATATCAAGCAAAGAGAGAAATTAGAATACGGTAAAAAAAAATTTCCAAATGATTAAAAAGATCCAACTTCAGGAGGCACAGTTGATCTGAAGAAGGCTTTGCTCCTCCCTAGTTCAAATCAAAAACCCTTACTGCTTACTTTGTAAAAGAGTAGACAGATAGGAGCTGAATAGAAAATTAGCAAAATAACAGTGCCTGTCCTGAAGGAATATAAACTCTTGTTGAAGAAATTGTTCAACAGATTATAAGGAAATTTCTCATCCTGAACTGTTTAAAGGATACCACAAATGGAAGTGAGGGGCAGAGAGAGAGGCAAAGAGAGAAATGATTGGCTGCATGAAATTCTAGTGAAGACAATTAAAATATGAGAGATCAAATGTAGTGTTCAGGGTACACATTTCTGAAAACTATTTGCCAGGCTGCCAATTCTTTTTCCACCCATTCTCTCCCATCCCACTGCCAAGGGGTGGGGAGAGATTCTGAAAACACTTCACAAAGTAAAACAAAACATGAAATTGACGCAAAGTTTATTGCAGGCTCTCTGCCTGGGGCTGATTAGTACAAATTAAATTTTAAAAATAGATTTTTTTCCCTAAGAAAATGGATTGCCACAGTTTGATCAAGACAAAGACAATTAGAAAAAGAGAGAAACTCTTTGCAAAAGGACCAGCTGGAATCCAAGGTTGGTGGCCAGGAAAGAAGCATGGCTTTCTGCTTCATCTGTGCGAGAATGTGAGCTCCTTCTTCAGCCAGGCTTCCGTGAGGCACAAAGGTCTGGAGGTGGCTGGCACCAACCTCAGCTCCAGAGGTGGTTCCCATGATGAATGTGTGATTCCTAGTGAGTGGGGTTAGCACATAGGAGAAGTCACTCTGAACACTAATTTATACCATTCACAGTGTCATAGGTAATGAGGAACTTAGAGATTCAATGAATTCATTCTCCCAATTCCAGGTGCAGAAACTGGGGCTCAGGAAGAGAAAGTAATGCTCCAAATGCACTCTCCTAACAAGTAACCATTGAAGTACATCATCAACTTTTATAGGCAGAAAAAAAAAAACAGTTACTGTTATGCAACTAACAATTCTCAACATTAAGTAAAAGTATTTAAGGACAGTCTATTTATTTTACTTACTGATATTACAAAAATATTTACTGACATAATGTAAGAAAATAGAGATAAGCAAAAGAATGCCAACTGGACATGGAATCTGAAGCAGGAAGATTGCTGACAGCTCGAGGCCACCCTGGGATACCTAGTGAGTCCACAGCCTGAGACTCTTGACTCAGAAAAAACATCAGGAAACTGCTTCAACTTTTCACCTGTTTTCCTGATTGTTTTACACTATTCATTCTCTTATAGTTTCTGCTTTTCTCCCCTCTTAAGCATAAATCAAAAGCATATTTTCATGCCATTAAATCTATAATTAGCCCAAAGAATAAGTGTTAATGCACAATTTATATAACCAATTGTTTATTATTGTTTCAAATTTACATTTTCTATAATTCTATGTTGTTATAAATAGTGCTCTGAAAGCCATTTTGGGTAATTAAATGTTAGATTATCTTTTTGGATAAATCCCTTGAAGTTGGATTGTTAGGAGCTTTAAATAATTTTGTGAGGAGAATAATTTTCAAAGCCAGCCAGAATATCCTACTAGAAGTTTTCTGACCAAGTTTCCCAAGTCTTTATTTTCTTAAAACCTTGGGAAAAGGCTAGCAGAAAATCATGCATCACCATTAAGATGACTTCCTCAACAGAGAAAGCTTTTTTATGTATGAAACCCAGGTACATAAATAAACTATTGTGTGTTACTTAAATTCAGTTACCATGTCTCTTATTTAGGAGGTAGAAGACCTCCACACACTCAAATAGAGAAAGCCGATCCAACTGCAGTCTCATTCCTAATCACATAAAAGGCACCCGAGACCACCTGGGAAAGACGGACCTTCAATACAATGATAGATAGCTCTTTTTCTTATTTGAAGAATATATTTATTGCTTACTCAAGCCAACCAACTTAATAATGTTTCCAATTCACATTAAGTCCAATAAGTCAAAATGAGGAGACTAAACAAATATACCTTAAGGCCACACTAATCCCGTAGATCTGTTGTTTTTGTTGAACTTTATAAAATCAGTGTCTCTAGTTCTACAGGAGAGATACAGCATTAAGCAAATTCAAAATATTAACACATAGATTTTTCAAAGCAAATATTGTTTTTTTTAAACTTTATTTAAGAGGAAAAAGAGAAAAACACAAAACAAAACAAAGCAGTGTAAGGGTACACATAATACAGAACTACAAAAAAAAAAACATAACAGTAAGAAATCACCTGTAAATAGATTACGTATTATCATCTTGGAAATAGTTGCTCAAATCACAGTATCAAAGAATACAAAGTGGACATTCAAACAGAGAGACTGCAAACAGCTGTGTTCAATGATCCAAAAACATTAATATAGTCAGCTATTTAACACCCCTAAACACACTTGCAGTTATATCCGTTAGAGGTCTTTTTTCCCCCCCCCTCTCTTTTTTACAACAAAATTTACACATTTTGGATTTTATTACTCCTTAGTTCTTATTACTTTTTTTGGGGGGGGAGAGAATAAAGTCAAATATGGCAAAACAAAGCTGTCAGTCAAAACCAAGGATAGACATAGCACATGATGTAGAACAGAGTACAAGGTTATCAACAATGGTTATCAACGTTGTCTCTTGTTTCCTTAAAAAGAATTGTCTATCTCATAAGATATTATAAAGTTGGACAAAACAGTAGAGAACAAGACCAATAAAACTTAGGCATTGTAAACATTACAGGACTTCCAAAGAAGACAATAGTCAAACCAGAATGGGCATCTTAGTGAATCTTATTGCCTTCAAAGTAGTTGCTTATAGCCTCAAACTTGATACTATCGCACAGAATGGAACAGAGTCTAATCAGTCAAAACAAGATCGTGGGAGTATTACAGGACTTCAAAACAAGTTAATAGGAAATCAAAAAGAGTTACTATTATATATCCTAATTTTTTTGATTTTTCCCCTTAATTAAAACAAACATAAGAAATAACTAAATAATTTTTTTAAAGAATAAGGGAGAGATTGAGTTAAAACAGGACATAACAATATAACAATACAGGTCAAAGCATGACTGTTTCAGCAACCTCGTGCTTCACCACCAAATAACCCGACTTAATAGTAGTTACCATAGTGTCTGTCTTTTTCCTTGAAATATTTGGATAAAACTTCATATACTATAGCTTCAAATATTTCCATATCAAGAAGCCCAGAATAAAGCCTTTCTAATTAATAAGTGAAAATTTTATAAGGCTTCAAGGCCACATAATGGGGAATCATGATTACCACATATTTTCATATATTTGAATCATTACTTACATTAGGGAAACTATTCGGTATTCATACATGCGAGATTGATTTATTTCACTTATGAGTATGGTCTCAAGCTGCGCCCATTTATTGATAAATATCTCAATGTGATCCTTCTTTATACTGAATAATACTCCATTGTATAGAAATACCACAACTTTTTTATCCATTCCTCAGTTGATGGACACTTGGGTTGTTTCCAAGATCTGGCGATTACAAATTGTGCTGCTATAAACATAGGTGCACATATATCACTGTGGTATGATGCTTTCAGTTCTTCTGGGAATATGCCTAGAAGTGGAATAGCTGGAATAAATGGGGTTTCCAATCCCAACTTTTTGAGAAATCTCCAGACAGACCTCCACAAAGGCTGTACCAGTCTACACTCCCACCAACAGTGCAGGAGAATTCCTTTTTCCCCACAGCCTCTCCAGCATTTGTTGTTGGTTTTCTTGATCCTGGCCATTCTTTCAGGAGTGAGATGGTATCTCAGTGTGGTTTTAATTTGCATTTCTCTAATGACCAATGATGATGAGCATGTTTTCATGTATTTATTTGCCATTTGCATTTCTTCATCTGAGAATTGCGTATTCATCTCAGATGCCCATTTTTGGATTGGA